ATCAGGACCAGTGTTGGTGAATCTTTTGGCTTTCCCCAGTGGTTGAAAGATCACCACTGCTAGTGGCATAATGTACAAGGTAGGAAGAGGGATGGAATTGATGGTAACAGCTGTCGGTCTCTTTTCTTAGGAAATAAAGGTTTTCCCAGAATACATCTACCAGTGTTTTGCTTTTCTTGGGCTGAGGCAGGTCATTTGGCCACTACCAGTTTCAGAAGGTGATGAGGTTACAGCCCTATTCACAATAGCAAAGACATGGAATCAACCTAAATGCTCATCAGTAGTAGACTGTATAAAGAAAATGTGGTACATATACATCATGGAATACTATGCAGCCATTAAACAGAATGAGATCATGTCCTTTGCAGGGATATGGATGGAGCTGACAGCCATTATCCTTAGCAAACTAATGCAGGAACAGAAAACCAAACATCACAGATTCTCACTTATAACCAAACACCACATGTTCTCACTTATGAATGGGAGCTAAGTGATGAGAACACATGGACACATAACAGGGAAACAACACACACCGGGGCCTACTGGAGAGTGAAGAGTGGAAGGAAGGAGAGGATCAGGAAAAATAACTGATGGGTTCTGGGTGATCAAATAATCTGTACAACAAGCCCCCATGATATGGGTTTAGCTATGTAACAAACCTGCACATGTACCACTGAACTTAAAAGTTGAATTAAAAAAAAAAGATAAAGTAGACCGGGCGCGTGGCTCAAGCCTATAATCCCAGCACTTTGAGAGGCCGAAGTGGGTAGATCACGAGGTCAAGAGATCGAGACTATCCTGGCCAACATGGTGAAACCCCTTCACTGCTAAAAATACAAAAAATTAGCCGGGCGTGGTGGCGGGCGCCTATAGTCCCAGCTACTTGGGAGGCTGAGACAGGAGAATCACTTGAACCCAGGAGGTGTAGGTTGCAGTGAGCCGAGATTGCGCCACTGCACTACAGCCTGGCGACAGAGTGAGACTCTGTCTCACAAACAACAACAACAACAACAACAACAACAGATAAAGTAAGCAGTGAGAGAGGAGTTTGGGGATTGCATGCTGGTTCAGCAAAGCAACATTTTCCAAAAATTTCCCAAAAGATACACAAACTATCCAGAAGACCACTTTAAAATATTATATGTGAAGCTTAAGTCTTAAGATTAAAAATTCAGAAACTGTAAAAGAATACACATTTAAACATGTAGCAAATAAAATTATGTGAATGGGATAATATCATATGCAAAGTCGAGACAAGGAATAGATGTTTTTTAAAAAAGGAGTTACTCCCTTTAACATAAAAAGCTGTTTTAAGTTAATAAGATAAACAATCCAAAAAGAGAAATGTATAAACAAATGCTTTATAAAGGCAATTTACAGAATAGGAAATTCAAATGTCCAAGACATATTTAGAGGTATATTAATATACAAATTATAATTAGTTATCACTTGGAACTTGTAAAATTTCTCAAGGTTAAAGAGTAACCGTAGCTGGGCACAGTGGCTCACGCCTGTAATCCCAGCACTTTGGGAGGCCAAGGCAGGTGGATCATTTGAGGTCAGGAGTTTGAGACCATCCTGGCCAATATCCATCTCTACTAAAAATACAAAAATTAGCCGGAAGTGGTGGCAGGCACCTGTAATTCCAGCCACTTGGGAAGCTGAGGCATGAGAATCGCTTGAACCCGGGAGGCAGAGGTTGCAATGAGCCAAAATTGCACCTCTGCACTCCAGTCCGGCGATAAAGCAAGACTCGGTCTCAAAAAACAAAAGAAGAGTAACAGCTACTTTTAGTAGGGGGAAAGAGGTACATTTATACACTAGTACTGGAAACATAAAAAGCTACAGTCTTGGGACGAAGAAATCTGGCAACATCTGTTAAAATAAAATAACACATACCATTTGATCAGTCCCACTCCTACAAGCAGATGCTACAGAAAAATATTAATCTCCAGTAGGTAAGGGCATGACTGTCCTTGTCCAATAATCTCTCAAGTATAGTTATAAAAGATTATTTCTCCTAATGAAAAAATGTGAATAACCAATGGCAATATGGTCAAAATATTATGGTACGTCCACACCACGGAGTCTTTTCAGCTAGCTAAAAATCGTTAAGTGTAAAAAGGTGCAAAAATGAGTATACAATCCCTCTTACGTATGACAATGAAATCACACACACTAATATATGACACAGATGACATATTAATGTGACTGTATGTGATTGTGAATATAGAGAAAAATATCAAGTTGATTAGCATTATCTGTTGACAGACTGTTGGAGTGGCTGGAAATGCTATGAATGGAAGTACAAAAATCAAGAAGACATAAAATACATTATAAAAGTTAGTTAGGTCAGGCATGGTGGCTCATGCCGGTAATCTCAGCACTTTGAGAGGCTAGGCAGGAAGACTGCTTGAGGCCAGGAGTTTGAGACTGACCTGGGAAACACAGCAAGACCTCGTCTCTACAAAAACTAGAAAAATTAGCAGGTATGGTGGCATGTGCCTGTACTCCTAGCTACTCAACAGGCTAAGGCAGGAGGATCACTTGAGCCCGGGGGTCGAGGCTGCAGTGAGCCAGGATTGTGCCACTGGACTGCCACCTGGGTGCCTGGGCGACAGATTGAAACACTGTCTCTAAAGTAAATAAAGTCACATTTATGCCATGTTATATATATATACATATGTGTGTATGTAAATATTTTAATAAAAAGAAAGGCAAGTGTTTCATGGTCTGTTTCTCTCCACTGGTTTGAGACATGGGCTTAAAGTTAAATCAGTAAACAAAATGAATTATATTTATGATGAAATCTGCTTCTATAGGAAGACCTTTTCCAATGTATCAAATAGAGCTTCTTCTCTACTTGAATGTTATGGCATTTAATAAAATGATGTATTCTTACAAAACGTATTTTTATCAATTACTTGTCTGGTATACAGTAAGGTGTGACTCATGGACAAAGATTTTTCCATATACAATATATAATGTACAATTACAGGGCTTCTCTGTGGTATGAGTAATTTAAAACTCGTTCTGACTTCTGTGAAAAGGCTTTCTCACTTTCAAGAAATACAGTTTCACTCATGTGTAAATACTGAAGAATACTAAAAACTGATTTCTGTGTGAAGCTACTCCCACATTTGCTCTTAACGTTGTCGCCTTCTGGTAGAAACTTTCTGATAAATTCCAGGTGAAGTGTTTTCCAGTTAGTGTTCTTACAGGCTTTGTTCTCCAAATGGTGTTTTTAGTGTATAATGGGATTTGAATTATTATTTTTTTCTCATGTGTGAATTTAGTTATGTTCAGGTCACTAACTTTTCAGTGGAAGACTTCCTAGTCATCATATTCATAAAGTTTCTCTCCAGCATTCATTTTCTGATATATAATGAAGTATGACTTGTAAAGAAAACCCTACCCACATTTAGTACAAACAGAAAATTATTATCCCCTATGAATTATCTGATGCATAAGTAAATGTTTGAGTGTATGCTTTCTTTTATTTTCTGAATACACAGTATGATTCACTTTTTAAAAATTAATTTAAAATGCATTTTTGGCTAGGTACAATGGCTCACATCTGTAATCCCAGTACCTTGGGAGGCCAAGGTGGGAGGACTGCTTGAAGCCCAGAGTTTGAGACCAGCCTGGGGAACAAAGCAAAGTGAAGCCTTATCTCTACAAAAAAAAAAAAAAAAAAAAAAAAAAAAGGCCAGGCACGGTGGCTCACACCTGTAATCCTAGCACTTTGGGAGGCTGAGGCAGGTGGATCACATGAGGTCAGGAGTTCGAGACCAGCCTGACCAACATGGTGAAACCCTGTCTCTACTAAAAATACAAAAAAATTAGCAGGGTGTAGTGGTGTATGCCTATAGTCCCAGCTACTTGGGAAGCTGAGGCAGGAGAATCGCCTGAACCCGGGAGACAGAGAGGTTGCGGTGAGCCAAGGTTGCACCATTGCACTCCAGCCTGGGCAACAAGAACGGAAACTCTGACTCAAGAAAAACAAAAAAAGGCCAGGTGTACTGACAAACGCCTGTGGCCCGAGCTACTTGGAATGATAAGGCAGGAGAGTTGCTTGAGCCAAGGAGTTCAAGGCTTTGGTGAACTATGATCATACCACTGAACTCTACCTGGGGTGACAGCGTGAGACCCTGTCACTAAAAAAAAATTAAAATTAATAAAATAGAATAAAATGCATATTAATTAAAATATTTAAACTGTAAAACTGTCTTAAAATAGTTTGTTGTAAATACAAATGAACTATAATAGCATGCTGGCATAAATACATAACGGCTGGCCGAGCCATGCCTGTAATCCCAGAACTTTGAGAGGATGAAGTGGGTGGATCACTTCATCCAACATGATGGCCAGCCTGGCCAACATGGCGAAACCCTGTCTCTCCTAAAAATACAAAAATTCGCTGGGTGTGGTGGTGCATGCCTGTAATCCCAGCTACTTGGGAGGCTGAGGCATAAGAATTGCTCGAACCTAGGAGGTGGAGGTTGCGGTGAGCCAAGATTGCATGCCATTGCACTCCAGCCTGGGTGACAGAGCAAGACTCTGTCTCAAAAAAAAAAAAAAAAAAGAAGAGATATGAACCTACAGTGTTCTCCCTAGTAAAGTCTGTATTCCACATGCCTCCAATCTATACTGACCTTTGAATTCTACTTAACATTTAGCTCTCCCAATTCGCTCAGTTTTCCATCATTTATTCCTCAATCAGTCCACAAGTGCCCCTTGAGATGCAAGAAATCCCACAGAAGAAAGTCTTTCTTTCTTCTACAGATTAATACTTTGTTGACAAAAGGTCAAGTAGCTCTTTTATAGTTTTTTCTTTTTCTTGGGAGTGTAACATTCTATTTTTTAAAATGTGCTTGAGAATAAAGGTTAAGAATCACTATCTCGGTAATCCTCCTAAGTTAATTTTTCAAACCCTGGACTCTATACCAGTCTTCATTAACCCCATTTTCTATTAATTATACAAAGGAAAAACCATAGTATTAAAAAAGACATCTGAGAAGCTTTTAGTGAATCTCTTCCATTTGCTAAATTTGGCAGCTACCAAAATAAAATTTGAAACCACCAGAGGTAATTTTCTCTTATGTATCAAAGTTTGTAAAGGTTTTAACAAATGAGTGAATGCCTTAAGACTTTTAGCAACAAAAGATTGGAATAAAGTAATGCTGCACATCTAAGCATTTTCATTTACAAGTCAGTAATTTTGGAAAGTAAGAAAATATATTTTTAGTCTTGATACTTCTTAAATATAAACAGCTATCTCAACGAATTGAAAACATCTGCCAGTGGCAGAGTAAGTGGTACAGACTAGTACTTCCTTTGAGAACTAAAAAAGGTGGATGAAAATATTAAACACATTTAATTTTCTGAAGGCATAAAGAAAGCTACCACGGCAATGAGAAATTGCAGGAATAAAATTGGAGATAAGACATAATGTCTGAAATTTGGGACATAATGTCTGAAACTGTTTATTCCCAAGAGGTATTTGCTAATTCTGAAGGCAAATACTGGGCAAGAGAGGCTGGAGAGAATTTTTGACAAATTCAAGTGACCAAAGAAGAAATACTAGAATTCAAGTCTTTCCAAAGAGGAGGGGCCTGATGTACCTCCCAAACTCCTAAGTCCTAAAAGTATCCTAGAAATAAGGTTTATATGTTCACATTCTGAACATATAATAAGATGAATCTTCCAGAGACTCAAGCCTAGTTTCAAATAATCTTAATATATGACTGGATAAAGGTAATCAGGGATTACTACTGATCCTAGCCTAAGAAGCTATGTTAGAAACTATGGCAAATCCTCTCTGGAAGAATATATTATCCAGACCATCTTATTACCTCTACAATTTTAATATATATTATCTGGCAAGTGATATAAAAATCACCATATGAGGATATAGGACATCAGCAAAACTCAAGAAAAATAACCATTAGAAAACAGGCCAACAGGAGATCTAGGTAATAAGGCTATCCCTAAAAGAAACAGAAAGAGAATGAGGCAGATGCATAATTTGAATAGATAATAGCTAGGAATTTCCCCAAATACACCTGTGTGCGTGCACACACACACCAAAACCACTAAGCCACAGATTTAAAAATATTATAAACCCCAAGGAGGTTAATACACCTAGGCATATCAATGTGCAACTGTTAAAAAACAAAGGCAAATAGATAAATTTCAAATGAGACAGAAAAGCAGATTGCCTGCAAAGGTAATTATATAAAGCTTACTTCTCAATAAAACGATAAAAGACAGACCAAAATAAAATATCATCAAAATACAACTTTCAACTTAGAATTCTATATTCAGTAAAAGTATCCTTCAAAAATGAAGGCAAAATAAAACACTGCCAACAAACAAAGAACAATTTGTCACCAGCAAACTCACAGTAAAAGTAATACTAAAGGGTGTTCTTCAGTAAGAAGCAACATAATTCTAGAGGAAAACTTAAAGGACAGGAAAAATAAAAAAGTAATTAAAATGATAAATATGTGGGTTAATTTAAATGGCTATTGACTCAAATAATGATTGGCTATGTTCACCATATACAGAATCCAGATATACAACATTAATACCATATGAGAGACAAATAAATGAAATTAATGTTATAACTTCTCCCCTTGTCCAGAAATGTTGTTAGTACTAATTTACATTAACTTTTAATCCGTATGTGTATTATATTAGTATCTGACATAGTACATTTAAGGCAAAAATTACTAGAGATAAAAAGAAACATCTAGTAATGATAATGTGTCAATTAACAAGGAAGATTATAACAATTCTAAATTGTATGTAAAATCAAAGACAAAATATATAAAGCAAAAATTAGTAGCTCTAAAGGAGACAAATTCACAATTATTTGTAAAATCACAACACACTTCTTTTAGTATTTGATAGAAGAAAAAAAGTCTACTCAAATACAGAGAATTTGAAAAACAAAATTAAGATTAGTTTGTAGAGACTGTGAGGAGATAAAAGAAGTCTTCCAAATGTTCAACTACATTTTATCTTCTAAGTAAATGGTAATCTAGTAGGTAACAAATATGTAGAGAACGTACTAACAAAATTAGTGGGAAAGATTTTAGGATTTGATATCCATTTTCTTAATTTGTCCTATTTTTCAAACAGGAGTTGGTAACAACAACATCAAAAAAGTGCAGGTTTCTGTGGTCAAAGCTGAGGATCTAAAGTGCTGCTATCTAGATCTGGGTCCCTGTAGCTAAGTTCCATGATCTTAGCGCTAGTTCTAAGGTAGTAAGTAGTTAGGGCGCTGTTGCTTACATCACTGGGGAAATAGACTTTTGAGAAATAGGCAAAGAGTAATTTCAGACCTCTTGGCTAACTTCTGCCCCAGCATACGCCAACAGATATAACAATATATAATGGTGACTTCCCAAAGAAAATCTTAAAAAAGTAGAGTCCTTCCTTTCTGTCTTTAGTGTTTTCACAAAAACTGCTGATTCATTTTCATTATAGACCTGAACTGCCCTCCTTTAGCCTTGATCTCAGTGTCCTTAGGCTGCTTAGACAATGTAAAATTATCTCATCACTCTACTCATTAATGAATTTTTGGGGTCAATATTGAATAGTTTTGGTACCCAGAACATGAAAAACTCAACAGCCCTGAATTGATAAAACTGTTTGCTCAAAAAGTGAAACAAGAAAGACTGCAAATCATCTCCTTGCACATTTACTATTATTTGCAGGAGCTTGACAATACCAATAACAAATAACCAAAGATGACCACTATACAATGCTTAAACACTCTCAAAAGTGTCTCCCCATATGCATAACTGCACATCAGCTGTATGATCCAGATGTTCATAATTCTAACTAGATAGAAGAAAGTTGGCCTTGGTCACCTCCTGAGTCCCCACACCATAATTGTGGCATTGAGCACTCTACTTCCCCAGTGTCAGATTTCTGAGGCATACTGAGTTGTGGCTTCCAGTTTAAGGCTTTCCTCAAGTCACTGCACTTATAGGGTTTCTGTTTAGTATGAATTTTCTGGTGTTTAATAAGATTTGATCTGATGGTGAAGGCCTTTCCACACTCAGCACATATATATGGTTTCTCTCCTGTGTGAATTCGATGATGCTCATGGAGTTGTGATTTCTTAATGAAAGACTTCCCACAGTCACTGCATTCATAGGGTTTCTCTCCAGTATGAATTCTCCTGTGTCTATTTAAGTGTGACTTCTGGATGAAGGATTTCCCACATTCAGTACAAATATAGGGTTTCTCTCCAGTATGAATTCTCTGATGCATAATTAGTGTTGATTTTCTTGCAAAGGCTTTCCCACATTCACTGCACTCATAATGCCTTTCTCCAGTATGGGATTGCTGATGTATATGGAGACCCGACTTCCGAGTGAAGGCTTTCCCACAGTCACTACATTTATAAGGTTTCTCTCCAGTGTGAATTTTCTGGTGTGTAAAAAGATTTGATCTGTCAGTAAAAGCCTTTCCACACTCAGCACATCTATAGGGTTTCTCTCCTGTGTGAATCTGCTGATGTACATGGAGTTGTGATTTCTTAGTGAAGGATTTCCCACAAATACTGCATTCATAGGGTTTCTCTCCAGTATGAATTCTCTCATGTGTAATAAAATGGGATTTGTGGAAGAAGGCCTTACCACATTCAGTGCAAACATATGGTTTTTCCCCTCTATGAATTCTCTGGTGCATACTTAGTGTTGACTTCTGAATGAAGGCTTTCCCACATTCACTGCATTCATAGTGTCTCTCTCCAGTATGACACTTCTGATGTATCCTGAGCCGTGACTTCCAGGTGAATGATTTTCCACAGTCGCTGCATTTATAAGGTTTCTCTCCAGTATGAATTTTTTGGTGCTTAATGAGATTTGACCTGTCAGTAAAGGCCTTACCACATACAGTACATATATAGGGTCTTTCTCCTGTGTGGATTTTCTGGTGTATAATGAGATTTGTCTTGTGAGTGAAGACCTTCCCACATTCTGAACATATAAAGGGATTCTCTCCTGTGTGAGTTCGCTGATGCACATGGAGTTGTGATTTTTTAATAAAGGATTTCCCACAGTCACTGCATTCATAGGGTTTTTCTCCAGTATGAATTCTTTCATGTGTGATAAAATGTGACTTCCGGATAAAGGCCTTTCCACATTCAGTACATACATAAGGTTTTTCTCCTGTATGAATTTTCTGATGCATACTTAGTGTTGATTTCCTTGTGAAAGCTTTTCCACATTCAGTACATTCAAAGTGTTTCTCTCTAGTACGAATTTTTTTATGTATATTAAGGTTTGAATTCTGAGAGAGGTTTTTCTCACATTCACTGTACTCATAGGGTTTTTCTCCAGAATGAATTCTCTGGCATCTGAACAGATCTGACTTCTGGATAAAGACTCTTCCATAGTCACTGCATTTATAGTAATTCCCCTCAGGAGTTTTCTGATGGTTTGACTTGAGGGAAAAATCCTTCTCATATTCAGTGCATATTCCTGCATAAATCCTCTGACGGCCATCAAGCTGGGACTTCTGAGTGAAGACTGCCTCACGTTCATGGCATTCATGCTGCTTTTCTTCAGTACAAATGCTCTCATGTGCAAAGGCATGTGACTTCGGGGAGAAAACATTTACATAGTCAGAAAACAAATAGAGGCTCTCTCTAGTATGAATTTTCTGATGTTGAATGAGAGCTTGCTTATGATGCAGAGATTTCCTACACTGATTACATTCACAAGCCGTCACTTCTGTATGAGAATTCATATGAGTGAAAATATCACCATCTCCAATAGTCTTATCAGAATTTTCTGTTGCATTGTTTCTATTATATAAGGTTACAATAGGCTCCAAATTCTTTCCAAATGAGTTACAGTTATGGAGTCTTTTTCTTGAGGAAACCAGGTGTGTGTTTACATGAACTATTTCCCCAATGTCCTTATATTCACAGACCCTGTCGTTAGCTAGTGTTTTCTTGTTAATGAAGGCAACATGACTTAAAGGTTTCTTCTGGTTTTCTCCACATTTTCCTGTGTGTTCATCATCTTTCCACAATTCTTCTAAAATGGAATATGGGTCATCTCTTTTGAAGAGATTAATATTAATCTCAGACTGGAAAGAAATTTCTTCAGACATTCTCTGTTGTAAAGGTCCAAAACCAATGTCTCCATCTAAAAAAGAAAGAAAAGATAAGACTGACAAAAAGAACAATGAACAGAAAATAAGGCCAGGTACAGTGGCTCATGCCTGTAATCCCAGCACTTTGGGAGGCTGAGGTGGGCAGATCACTTGAGGCCAGGAGTTTGAGACCAGCCTGGCCAACATAGCAAAACTCTATCTCTGCTAAAAACACTAAAAATATTGTCTCTACTAAAAATTAGCCAGGCATGGTGGCACATGCCTGTAATTCCAGCTGCTCAAGTGGCTGAGACAAGAGAATGGCTTGAAGGTAGAGGTTGCAGTGAGCTGAAATTGCACCACTGCACTCTACTCTGGGTGACAGAGCAAGACTCTGTCTCCAAAATAAATAAATAAATAAATAAATAAATAAATAAATAAAAATACAATAGACCTTTGATTCAGGCCAGTGCAGTGGCTCACGCCTGTAATCCCAGCACTTTGGGAGGCCAAAGCAGGCAGATTACCTAAGGTCGGGAGTTCGAGACCAGCCTGACCAACATGGAGAAACCCCATCTCTACTAAAAATACAAAATTAGCCAGGCATGGTGGTGCATGCCTGTAATCCCAGCTACTTGGGAGGCCAAGGCAGGAGAATCACTTGAACCCAGGAGGCAGAGGTTGCGGTGAGCTGGGAGCTCACCATTGCACTCCAGCCTGGGCAACAAGAGTGAAACTCCACCTCCAAAAAAAACCCAAAAAAACCCAAAAACAGTTGATTCAAGGCAAACACAGAGAAATGAGAGAGGTGATATAAACATAACAAATATACATAAGTATTTTAAATATATATAAATATATAGGTATAATAACTCATTTGTACATAATATGTAATACAATGATGTAGAGTAATAACATTAATACATTACATTTATGACATGATAAACAATATCATTTAGATGTGCTGTTCTAAGTTCTATATTAATTCACTTAAACTTTATCACAGCCAGGTGCGGTGGTTCATGCCTGTAATCCCAGCACTGTAGGAGGCTAAGATGAAAGGATTGCTTGAGCGCAGGAGTTTGAGACCTGCCTAGGCAACATAGTGAGACCCCCATCTCTACAGAAAAAAAAAAATTAGCTAGGCCTAGTGACACATGCCTATAGTCCCAGCTACTCAGGAGGCTGAAGCAGGAGGATCACTTGAGCCCAGGTGTTTGAAGCTGTAGTGAGCTCTGATTGCACCATTACACTCCAGCCTGGGTGACAGAGTGGGACCCTGTCTTTCTCTCTTTTATTTCTTTTTTAAGACAGAGTCTCACTCTGTTGCTCAGGCTAGAGTGTAGTGGCGTGATCGGAGTTCACTGCAACCTCCACCTCCTGAGTTCAAGGGATTCTCATGCCTCAGCCTCATGAGTGGCTGGAACTACAGGCACGTGCCACCAGGCCTGGCTAATTTTTGTATTTTTAGTAGAGACAGGGATTCACCATGTTGGCCAGGCTGGTCTCGAACTTCTGACCTCAAGTATCTGTCCACCTCGGCCTCCCAAAGTGTTGGGATTACAGGCATGAGCCAGCAGGCCAAGCCAAGACTCTGTCTCTTAAAAACAAAAACAAAAAGCACTTTATCGCAACCCTTTGCTGGTGGTATTATTATTGTTTCTAGTTTACAGATGAGGACACTGAGCCATAGAAGAGTTTAGTAATTTGCCCAAATCAAATGTTTAGTAACTGGGGAAGGAGAGATTCCAATTCAGTGCAAATGTAGTAGAACTACATGGTGAGTGAGGTGTCAGGAGAACGAAGTGACAAACTCTGTGAAAAGAAGTATTTCTGAGTCTAGATTCTTATCCTTAATCCGTAAATTCTCACGATCTTCCCATTTTTTTTTCCCTATGATCCTCTGTGTCCTAAATACTAATGTGTTTATGTTTACAGTAAAATTACAATATCTTAGTATTCCTAACTTGGCCAAACAGTAAAATTTATATACATTTGTTAGATTTATATAGCCTCTCTCATTTCTCTGTGTTTGCCTTGAATCAACTCTATGTAACAATTGGTCTAATTTCTTTTGAGATGGAGCCTCACTCTGTCACCCAGGCTGGAGTGGATGGAGTGCAATGGCACGATCTCGGCTCACTGCAACCTCCACCTCCCGGGTTCAAGCAATTCTCCCGCCTTAGCCACATGAGTAGCTGGGACTACAGGCGTGTGCCACCATACACGTATTTGTCAAAATACAAATTTTTGTATTTTTGGTAGAGATGGGGTTTCACCATATTGGCCAGGGTGGTCTCAAACTCCTGACCTCAAGTGATCTGCCCGCCTCAGCCTCCCAAAGTGCTGGGTTTACAGGTATGAGCCACCGTGTCTGGCCTATAGTTGAATTCTTCATCCCTGGTTTGGGGTACTGATGTGATAAATGCATCTGGTAGAAGACATAACAGGAAAGAACCAGACATCAGAGGAGGAGACTGAAAGCTGTTCATCAAACCTGTGCCTTTCCTTCACAATATTAAGCTTAGAGCCAAGCACATTGCTGCCTCACAATACTAGGTTTGTCCAGCTTCATTTGTAACTAGGTGGGACTGAGTAACTCTTTTTCACTAATCAGTGGGAGTGATAAGGCCAATGTCTTAAGAAAGTGGGTTTGTCTCCCACAAACTTCTTCTTTTCCCACCAGTATATTCTCACTTGGCAGCACCCCGTTCTATGAAGCTGGCAATGCCCTAGGGCAGGGTTCAGAACACTGAAGCCCTTGGGCCAAATCCAGGCCTCTACCCAAAAGCTAACAATGGCTTTTACATTTTTAAATGGTCAAAAAATTAATCAAAAGAAGAATACTACTTCACAACATGTGAAAATTATATGAAATTCAAATTTTAGTGTCCATAAAGTTTTTATTGGAACACAGCCACACCCATTCATTGATGCATTGTCTATAGCTGCTTTGGGGCTACAACTGCAGAAATGAGTCGTTGTGACAGCAGCCATATGGTCCACAGAGCCTATTCACTTTTGTGCCTTTACAAAAAATTGTCAGCCCTTGCCCTAGGGGATGGTGGTACAATGACTTTCTAGAAACTTTCCTCCTGAACGGCCATGGAAACAGAGTTGCCCAGTGTTATGGCCACAGAAAAGGGACTAACACACATCTTTCCATTAGCCACTGCAGTCTATTTTATCAATGAACCCAAACATACAGTCTTTTCATTTTCTCCATTTAAGCTTCCTTTTTCTGATCTTTTGTTTCTATTCAAAATTCATTGTTCTTCATTAATCACTTGGGGTTCTCTGCTTTAAACACTAATTTCAAATTTCACCACAACTCCAGAGAGGCTCTCTTTTAACTTAAAAATAAACAACAAAAAGATACTTTGAACCACTCATATTTATATTTGAATTGGCATAGATGTGCATGTTAACAAATGTGTAATGTACAAAGATTGAAATTTTCAAGATTTCATGCAGTTACCCTCCTTTCGAATTAGTTTTTCTAGCCCTTTGAATTGCTCCTAGAAGAAAAATTTTAAAGTCTTTCTGAAATAGAGCAAAACGACCTCCTCTTCTTATAACACAAATTCAGGAGTTTAATTTCACTATTTTCTACAGAAACTTTGCTTTTTAATGTACAAGGGTAAAATACTCAGTTATCACATAATTTAATGTAGGTTTCTCTGAATAGGTCCAATTCAAGGAGTAAGTGAAAGCTGAGCACAAAATATGTGTATTATTATTATTATTATTGAGATGGAGTCTCACTCTGTCACCTAGGCTGGAGTGCAGTGGCACGCTCTCAGCTCACTGCAAGCTCCGCCTCCCGGGTTCACGCCATTCTCCTGCCTCAGCCTCCTGAGTAGCTGGGACTTCAGGTGCCTGCCACTATGTCTGGCTAATTTTTTTTTCTATTTTTGTATTTTTAGTAGAGACGGGGTTTCACCGTGTAGCCAGGATGGTCTCGATCTCCTGACCTTGTGATCTGCCTGCCTGGGCCTCCCAAAGTGCTGGGATTACGGCATGAACCACTGTGCCCAGCCAAAATACGTGTATTATTTGAATACGCAGATAGATAACATAATAATCAAAGGGCTCAATGAAGAGGGAGAATGAAAGAATAACATGGGGTAGAAATGGTTATGGAAAACAGGCACAAATGTGAATTGCAGTTAGGAGGCCATATTCTTTCTCTAGCTTACAAACCTACTGAGAGGAGAACCTGTCACATGTTAGATATTAAGTAGTAACTTTAGTTTTGTTCCATGTAGCTGTGACAGGATAAACACAGCACACAATGTTTTAAATAGTGAAATCTATCAGCAGCATCTGAGATGAAATAGTGAAAAAGAAAAAATGGGATTATCACAAATAGGATTAGAATAATTGAGACATGAGAAAATATAGACATGGTTGTAGGTGATATGACTGGGAGGTAAGAAAGAGGCTTTTCTAAATGAGAAAAATAACTAGAAAAGCAGAATCAATTATCTGAGAGATGGATTAGAGGGAAAAGTAAAAAACTCCAAGATGACATTTTGAATTATCTGAGAAGACAGATTAGAGGGAAAAGTAAAAAACCCAAGAGAAGATGCCAACATTGTGAAAGGCAAGCCACCTGCTTTTGGCATGCTACATTGTATCTTGTCTTCCTTCACACAAACAGCCAGACCCTTATATGCAGACAGTATTTGTCTTTCCCCTGAGTGCTGTATACAACAGGGCCAACGCCTGACTGAGACACACAAATAACAGTTTTAGAGTAAAAGTTGTTCCCATGAGCCAGTTATCACTCAGAGCTCATGCTGCAGCTGAGACGCATAATCTGGGACATAGATAGGTCTGGGCTGAGACACACGGCCCTGGGCAACTTTAAGGAGGACCAAAGCCCTTACACCTGCCTCTAAATGTCCATGATAACTTCTAATGTAGGCTAGTTATGTATAGGACAGAGGCAAAGTGCATACTTGCCAGCAGGTAGTATAACCAGTTGGGAAAAGAAGAAAGACCCCTGTGGGGGTGATCATTGCCTTGACATCCTGCTCACTGCCCCAGCTGTAAATGACCTGCAAGGAGAAATGGACCCCACCCCAAACTTGGTTCAGATGTCAAGAGTGATGATGAGACACACACAGTAAGAGGGTATAAAAAGACTCATTACTCACATAATGAGGCTTTCTGGGGACAGCTCCAAGCAGGTCCAGATGGGGCTAGAGTGAGCAAGGAAAGGACTGTCTTAGGGTTTATAGCAGGGGTGGTGGGGCTAGGCTAACTATTCCCTTATGTAGTTGGAATTTCCCAGCACCAATGGAAGGAATACATGGGCTTTTTTCTCAGTTTGTCCAGGTGTGGGGAGAAAAAAAGAGAGAGGGGTGAGGCTTAGAAAATGTCAGCAGTTGAGGCTGGGTGCGGTGGCTCACGCCTGTAATCCCAGCACTTTGGGAGGCCGAGGGGGGCAGATCATGAGGTCAGGAGATCGAGACCATCCTGGCTAACACGGTGAAACCCCATCTCTACTAAAAATACAAAAAATTAGCCGGGCGTGGTGGCGGGCACCTGTAGTCCCAGCTACTCGGGAGGCTGAGGCAGGAGAATGGCGTGCACCTAGGAGGCGGAGCTTGCAGTGAGCCGAGACTGCACCACTGCACTCCAGGCTGGGCAATAGAGCAAGACTCTGTATAAAAAAAAAAAAAAAAAAGAAAATGTCAGCAGTTGAACATCAAAAATGAAGGATACAGAATGAGATGTTCAAAGTATTTTATTAGGAAATACAAATTAAATAATAATTAGAAATTAAAACCCATCAGATTAGCCAAATTATTAAAAATTTGGATAACACTAGGTATGGATAGGGATGTGGGAAACCTAATACCCTTGTACAAAGTTCCAGGGACTACAGAGTGACACAGCCAATCTGGAAAATAATGTGCTTATACCTCATCATATTAAATATTAGTATGCCCAACAATAAAGGAATCCCACTCCTCTTCCTTAAGAAAGTCTCATTTCTGGCCGGATGCGGTGGCTCACGCCTGTAATCCCAGTACTTTGGGAGGCCAAGGTGGGCGGGTCACGAGGTCAGTAGATCGAGACCATCCTGGTGAACACGGTGAAACCCCACCTCTACTAAAAATACAAAAAATTAGCCAGGCGTGGTGGCGGGCGCCTGTAGTCCCAGCTACTCGGGAGGCTGAGGCAGGAGAATGGTATGAACCCGGGAGGCGGAGCTTGCAGTGAGCCGAGATTGTACCACTGCACTCCAGCCTGGGGGTCAGAGTAAGACTCTATCTCAGAAAAAAAAAAAAAAAGGAAAAAAAAAAGAAATTCTCATTTCCAATAAGAATAATTCATGAAGAAACGTACTGCGGTACTGTTTGTAGTAGCTGAAAAACTGGACAAGTAAAATGTGGTATATATGTGCACTACAGAATGGTATGTAGAAATTAGAAAAATGCATTGCAACATGGACCAATTTGAGAAAAAAAAACTGAGTAGGATATATAATACAGTACCATTTCTACAAATTAACAATGCCAACAACTCAGATTTTACAAATATTCCACAAATTTAAGGATAAATGGCAAAACATGTCAAATATATTAGAACAGTTGCCTCTTGGAAGGATAAAAATGAGTATGGAGACTGAGGATTAAAAAGAATAAATAAAATAAGAGGAGAGCCTTAAACACACTGATGATGATATTGACTAAAAACTAAGGCTATAATTATTAACTCAATCTTCTGTACAGGATATACCTGTACATGAGATTAAAAAAACTTTTTGTAAGATATGAAAATAAATAAATTAGAAAGATCAAGTCAGTGTTGTGTTGCACTAGCCAAGTAGGAATAAAATGTCAATGGTACCCTCAAAATCAACAGTTAGAGAAGAGGCATGGAGGGACTTCAGATAAGCCCATCTCTAGATGACAATTCTGAGGCACTTAGGGGAAAGAGACAAAATGAGAAGAAACAGCAGGAACTGAAGTTGTAATGCACAGTAATTTTTTTAAGAAGGTAGATCTATAAGTATTTGAATGCATAAGGAAATGATCTAAGACCCTGATGGAGGTAGAAAGAATAAAACTTTTCTAGGGAAAGAGAGAAAAGAGCAAGAAAGCAGGACCCTAGAAAGTAGGGTGTGACATGATCCAAATAACCAGTAATTGTAGCACATTCCCTCCTAAAAAGCCAAGCAAAGAAGAAGGCATTGATATGAGAAGGGATCTTAAGTGGAGTTAGCATTTAGATATCCAAGGGTCCTTGTCTAATAACTGCTCTATCCAAGCAGTTCTAAAAGTCATATTAATGACACAGCAAAGTTATGCAAAGTTGTGCACAGCCTCTCCCAGTACAAATACAGCTGAGTCATACTGTCTGCCATGCTCTTGGTTCCCTTCTCACCTGGATGGCTCTGACCGGAGATCTCACCATCCAACATACATGGCTCTTCTTGTTCCAAGCTGAAGATGACTTCTGGTTTGGGAACTTGACATCCTGTTAACAGGAGATGATAGAGGACTTTGTTTCAGAGGCCATACAATGAAGCATTCCATTTGTTTTCCAAAAAAGTTCACTGGGAACAGAGGAATATTCACATGACCCAAAAGAGATTATTAAGAACATGGGACAAAATAAGGACAAAACCATTACACACTTTAGGTGTCCCGCAGTCTTTAGAAGTCCCACATACCTCAGAAAACACAGACTTCAGCAATTGTACTGAGAAAAAAAAATATACTCAATTAGGTGCTGTTTACTGTGTACCCAGCAGAGCTGTGCTTACCCACTGAGATCAAGTTGAAATAGTTTTCCAGCATCACTTCTCTGTACAGGCTTTTCTGAGCAAGGTCTAATTGTTGCCACTCATCCCTACTGAAGTCTACAGTTACGTCCTTGAATGACACTGATTCCTGTGGGGGAAAAAAAAAAACAAAACAAAAACCCTTTCAATGTGAAGGATCAAGATTACAGAATGGAAACAAGACAGGACCTTATTTTTTATTTTTTTATTTTTAGAGCAGGTCTAGAATATCTTTTATTCTACATTTAGCTTAGTTTTACTATTTTTTAAAAATTATACTTTAAGTACTAGGGTACATATGCACAACATGCAGGTTTGTTACACATGTATACATGTGCCATGTTGGTGTGCTGCACCCATTAACTCATCATTTACATTAGGTATATCTCCTGATGCTATCCCTCCCCACTCCCCCCACCCCACAACAGGCCCCGGTCTGTGATGTTCCCCTTCCTGTGTCCAAGTGATCTCATTGTTCAATTCCCACCTATGAGTGAGAACATGCGGTGTTTGGTTTTTTGTCCCTGTGACAGTTTGCTGAGAATGATGGTTTCGAGCTTCATCTATGTCCCTACAAAGGACATGAACTCATCCTTTTTTATGGCTGAAAAGTATTCCATAGTGTATGTGATATACAATATACTATAAAGAACTTCTACAACTCAACGACAATGAACAACATAATTTTAAAAATGGGTAAAAAGCTTAAATAGACATTTCTACAAGGAAGATATACACATAGCCAACAAGCATATGAAAAGATGCTCGACATCATTAATCAGTAGGGAAATGCAAATTAAAACTACAAATACTACCTCACACCCATCAGGATGATAAAGAAAATGTCTAAAATTGATTATAATGATGGTTGTACAACTGAGTGAATATACTAAAAATCAATACATGGTACACTTTAAATGGTAAACTGTGTGGTGTATGAAGGGGAGGGCTCTTTTTTGGCACTGCCATTTCCAGATGGGATGCAGTAGCTTGGCAGTCCAGTGCTTCTTTCAAGAATGAACTGTAAATGCCAGATGCAATACTTGAAATCATCTGTTTCAAAGCACTGGAAAGCTGCTGAGGTAACAAGAAATATAGGGGCTGAGACTGGAGAGGAGAGAATACTGAAGATTGAAGCTGACTTATTCAGTCACTTGGACAGTGGGAGCATTTACCAATTCTGGGTGTGGACAAAAGCTGGATTCTCGTTTTGTCCTGTCTACTGGAGAATGCAGTAGAAGGCCGCAGCTGGTTAACACAGAAACTAACATAACTCAAACACATGGCCATTTTCCCCTCAGGATATTTACTGAATTCTAGGGTATATAGGGCAGAAGACTAAAACTGTAAGCAAACAGCCTTTGAAGAGCAAAGCAAAAGTCTAGTATCTGTTAAGAAAATAGTTGGGCATCTATCAGGAGGAGGGTCTTTAGAGGACAAAAGGACTCTCAGCTGAAAATTCTCAGTAGCCAAGGTTATCCAGAGGTAAACTGAGTCTTAGCAGAGCTTCAACCCAGCCTTGATTCAACACTGTCCCTAACTGGATGTACATGTTCTCCCTTCCCTCCTTTTGCTGACATAAGGAAAGATGAATCCTCTGTGGAGAAAGATAACACCATCCAGATCCTGTTCAACTTTTCTTCTTTTTTTTCTTCTTAGACAGGGTCTTGCTCTGTCATCCAGGCTGAAGTGCAGTGGCACAAACACGGCTCGCTGCAGCCTCGACCTGGGCTCAAGCAAACCTCCTGTCTCAGCCCTGCAAGTATCTGGGACTACAAGCTTATGCTACCATGCCCAGCTACTTTCTCTATCTTTTGTAGAGATGGGTTTTGCCATGTTGCCCAGGCTGGTCTGGAACTCTTGAGCTCAAGTGATCTGCCTGCTTCAGTCTCCCAGGTATGAGCCCTGCCTACAACTTTTTATACACGGTGTTTAAAACAAACAAACAAACAAACAAACAAAAAGATAGGACCACATATCCAAAATCAGAGAAGGAAAAAATTCAATAGAAACAGTCACACAGAGAACGGGAATTAGATGAAAAGATGACTATCTTTAGAGAATTGGTTTTTATAATAAAGAATCAAATGGAAATTCAAAAATTGAAAAATCTAATATCTAAAATTAAGAAGTTCTTATACAGGTTTAACAGCAAAATACAGAATTTCTGAAATGGAAGAGAAGTAAATAGAAAATATCCAAACTGAAGCAGAGATGTTTTTTAAAAGAAAAAACCACAGGAGCATTAGGAATATCTGTGACATAGTAAAAAGGTATAACCTATCAGAGTCTGAGAAGTTAAAGAGGAGAGTGCAGGGAAGAAGTAATATTTGAAGAAAGTAATGGCTATGAATAACATCAACCCTTAGAATTCAAGAAGCTCTTCAAGTACCTCTTTACAAAACTGCAAATATTGACTATGCAAAACAATAACAGTACTATTCTGGGAGGTTTAAAATATATGCAGAATTTAAATTCATGGAAATAATAATGCAAAAGTGGGAGGCAGCAAATAGAATTAAAATGTTTTAGTATCCTAGCATTATTAAGGAGATAAAATAGTAAGTTCAAGATGGATGTTTTAATATCTAGGGTAACAAATAAATAGTAAAAGAATTATAACAAGTAAACAAAGGAAAAAGTTAAAGAGTACAAAATTATGTAATATAAAAAGTCAAGAAAGCAATGAAAAAATAGGTAGTTCAAATCAAAAAGGCCGGGCGTGGTGGCTCACGCCTGTAATCTCAGCACTTTGGGAGGCTGAGGTGGGTGGATCACGAGGTCAGTAGATAAAGACTATCCTGGCTAACATGGTGAAACCCCGTCTCTACTAAAAATACAAAAAAATTAGCCGGGTGTGGTGGTGGGCGCCTGTAGTCCCAGCTACTTGGGAGGCTGAGGCAGGAGAATGGTGTGAACCCAGGAGGCGGAGCTCGCAGTGAGCCAAGATTGCACCACTGCACTCCAGCCTGGGCAACAGAGTGAGACTCCATCTCAAATAAATAAATAAATAAATAAATAAATAAATAAATAAATACTAAAAAATAAAAACTAATAGTAAGGTAGTATATATAAATTCAAGTACATTAGTAATTACATTAAGTGTAAATGCCTTAAACATTCGAGTTAAAAGCAAGGATTGAAACTTCTGGTTCTAAAAAACAAAACAAAACAAAAAAAGAGTGCATTCCACCCCATTCCTCCTGCTAATTACCTAAAATCTAGAAAAATACATAAAGCATCTATCAGAAGACTAACTGGTGGAGAAAAGAAAGTAGAACCTAAGGACTTAAAAAACAACACAGTAGTGAGTTTCCTAGGATTGCTTAGAGGGAGAGAGGGAGCTCCTACATACTGCAAAATGAGCACTAGAGGAGCTTGCAGCCTGGAAGAACCAGTGAGCACAGACAAAAAAAGCCTCCCCAAAGCATACATTTTCCAGTCAAATAATTTGAAATAGGGCAGCACTACACGATGGGCCCTTTTGACTACACATACCTGCAAAGTTCAGAAGTACCCAAGAACACCCTCACTTCTGACACCTACTGCAAGCAGGGGGATTTCCCAGGATCACCCGTACTTCTGACACCAGTTCCAAGTCAGGGGTCCCAAGACCACCCTCAGTTTCCATAATTTGCTGGAAGAACTCACAGAAATTAGAAAAGCCATTATACTCATGGCTATGGTGTTATACAGTGGCTTTACAATGAAAGGATACAGATCAAAATCAGCCAAGGGAAGATGTGCTTAACACAGGGTCAGGGAGAGTTCCAGGTGTGAGCTTCCAGTGGTTTTCTCCCAGTGGAGTCATATGGACAGCACTTACTTCTCTCAGCAATGATGTGTGATGATAATATGCATGGAGTATTGCCAACTGGGGAAGTTCACTTGAGTCTTGATGTCCAGAGTTTTTACTGAGACGTGATCATGTGGACATGAATGACTCCCATTGTGGCTGATCTTAATCTCCAGCCCCTTTGGAGCTGATATTGCATGGCCAAGGTACCCCACTATAAACCACATGTTGGCATAGAATATTCAGTGTGGCCCAAAGCTCCCATTGTAATCGCATTGTCATTATATACCATCTTGCATGGCTCAAGCAAGACCTGCAAGACATTCCAAAGATTTAGAGGTTACCTCCCAGGAGCTGAGTGCAAAAGCCAAACCTCTCTTTAGGCAAAGTTAATTCTTTACTGCACAACAGTATACTCAAGGTGAAAACTACAAAAGATGCATCCTTTGCCTTCTTCGCCAAACAATGTGACTCCAAGATGGTGGGGTGGAGCTCTCTCAACCATCCCAACTGCATTAGCTCAAAGAGAGGTAGCACCCCTCTTGCCTCTCCAGCAGGCATTATATAGACTGTATTGGCTAACCCTACCCCAAATTAAGTGAATGACAGCAAAGAAGTACCTACCTTCTCCTTCCAATAGAGAGTGGAGGATGGACTATGGAGAAAGTTATAAAAAGGGGTTCTTTAAAGATGTGTATGATGCCCTGGGCACACCTATGAGCAGCCCATGTATAAAATCAATCAGAATCAACACAGAAAAAGCTTTCAGGGCTGAACTAGGGTATGGGATACTGTCCAGGTTTCAAATTGCCTTCTGGGTTGCACAAAAATGAGGGAGACCAAAGTAGAACTGAAAAGACTTTCAAAACTTAAGTTGAATTTGAACTACAGCCCATAAAAATAGACCAAGACATGTACTCTAAACCTAAATGTGTTGACAACTGCTAAAATAGAGGATTTAAAGAGAAAACAGAATCTCATAACATGATATTTAGAATGTCCTAAATAAAGCCAAAATTATTCATCATCTTAAGAACCAAGAAAATCTCAAATCAAATGAGAAAAGAGCATCAACAGATAGCAACACTCAGATGAATCAGATGTTGGAATTATTTGACAAGGATTTAAAGTAGCTAACTAAAAGTGTTGCAACAAGCAGCTGTAAATAGTCTTGAAACAAGTGGAAATATACAAATTCTCAGCAATGAAATAAAAGGTATGAGGAAGAACAAAATGAAAATTTTAGAACCAAAAAATACAATAAATGAAATTAAAAACCTCACTGGATGATCTCAACAGCAGAATGGAGATCC